AAAAAAACTGTAATCTTTTTATTAATATTCTGTACGCCTAAAAGTCCCGCTAAAGTCCCTAAAATCCATTAAAAGCAGACAAAAATGCTGCTCAAAATCAAATCAAGCGTAGGATATTCAAAAAGACCTAGATTCTACTTAATTGTAAAATCAAACTTCCGATGTAGTTCTAGAACGCTAGAAAGTAGAACAATTGCAGTACCACCAGCATCAACGTAACGCACTCTAGCGTAATGACCGTGGTTATCTTCCTAAAACTGTTTCCTTCAAAATTCAATAACCGTACAACTTACCAAACTACCGAAAAATTGATCAATTGTATCTTCAGTTTTACACAACTAGTGAAAATAATTCTAATGAGCAAGCCTTCAATCCTAAAACTTCGACTCTTTGCCAAAAACCGGTGAAACGAGCAAGATCACTAAAAACTTCCACAACACCGTAAACAGACCGATTGGCACATAGAGCTTCTTTCCTAAAAACGAAGTTAATCTTACGCCACAAAGAACATTTAAAACAAAGGGATAAAAACAGCCCCTACCAGAAAAAGTTATAAAAAAAATTTTTTTTAATTAAGTTTTTATTAAGAGAATTTATTAAGTATCACTCAGCATTAATTTTTCTTCCCTGTTAATACAGGAATGTTGAACAATATTGAAAAGCACTGCTTTAAACTAAAAAGAAATTGCAAAACAAATAACAGTGAGGAGAAAAATTTCCAAAAAATAATGCGGAGACTCGAAAGTCACTGAAATGAAGGCAGCAATTTTTTGTCATAATGAAGAACTTCTCAGTTCATAAAAAGACATACACTTTCTCAAAGCTGATCAGTCTGCGATTACTACTCAGTCCATAAAAATTATTCAATTTCTCCGCAAGTTTCCTCAGTAGACTATCTGCTTCAATCATTCCGTTTTTTACAACATACTCTTCTGTAAAAACGATGGAGCTCTTCCTACCAGCAGCACCCACTCCAGATACACCTTCTGATCCTTTTTTTCCTGCTTTGAGCGGCTTTTGTCTTAAGAACCGGGCATAAAATTCATATGGAGATTGTGTGTGACTGCAAATAAAAAATATTAACGCAACATGGAGTTTAACAATGGTGATTTTATCTAGGAGAACGGAAAGAAACTCAGCGAAGACGTAAAAAAAAAGACCATGCCTATAATAAAAAAATGAAGGACGCGTAACTCTTCCCCATAACGACGTTCTCCTATCTTCAAGAAATTTAACATAGTATTAAAAATGCAGTAATCCTAAAACCTACTAGTTTTCTTTAAGAAATTAATGTAAAAAGACGCTGTCAAACGTATCCCACTCATAACCAAACGATGCTAACACTGATACTTACGCGCCCTCGACATTTACGTATAATTTGCCACCATTCATATAACCCTCGTTACGCAAATATTCCTTAGTGGCGACCGAAATCTGAAGCAAAAGTTGAGACGTGAGAGTACTAGTGTGAAAAGAGGGCGCAAAAGAAGTAAAAAATCAATGATAAAAGCATGGCCTGAGAAGCTACAATTAAAACAAAAATTGGAAGAAGCAAAATAATGAAAGAGAGGATAATTAAATCAAAACGAGTCTAGCTGATGTAGAAATAGTTGATTACGAAAGGTACTAACGCACAGATGTGAAATCACCGAAACTTGAAAAGGAAAATCAGTCCAAAATAATCTGGTTAGAAGCCCCCCGTCAGCAAAAATAGAAAAGCAGCTTTTACCGAAAAAAAAACCTCTGTTTTACGAACGGTCAGGAGCGGTTTATATAAGAAAATGAAGCTTTTGCAGTTCAACAAACCTCATTTCCTATTGCACCTCTAGACCAGCCATCTTCTACCTCTCCGTCCTCCAAATCATCTTCGATGTCATTCATTACAGGAAAGTTTTTTTCCCAAATACTCATGTTGCTGTAAATAAACTCAGAAAACTCCTCTTCTTCCTGAAAACTACAAAAGAATAATAGTTCTACATATAAGTTGTAAACTATAATAAATTATTACTATTATTACTACCATTGTTATTCTCTTATTATTATTATTATTATTATTATTATTATTATTATTATATTATTATTATTATTATTATTATTATTATTATTATTATATTATTATTATTATTATTATTATTATTATTATTATTATTGTATTATTATTATTATTATTATTATTATTATTATTACTGTTAAAACTACAGTTACCATTACTACTAATAATAATAATAACTAATAATTTATTACTATCACAAATGTGTTTATCTTCATCAATACTAATAATGCTAACACTTTTGCTACTACTTTTATACATCACTGCAATTTACATCATATGATTCATAGAGTTTCTGTTGCCGCGCATCATAAATATTGCGATCGTAATCGTAATAAGGCATTCCCTGGCGAAAAAAGTCAGAGACAACACATATACGATTGCATTTTTCATTGTCTGTTTTGCCGAAAAGCTCTACCTTTAAAAGCAGTTCATCATTAGTACAGGATATGCTAAGAGCTATAGAATGAGTAAAAAATAGTAAATTTTTTGTTGTCACACAAGGAAAAAAATGAGATTTGCGAACAAAATGAAAACCTACCAATTATGAGTAACTTTCAAGCAAAGAACTTTGAAACCAAATTCAAAACCCATCTTAAAATTTATAAAAGCGATGAATCCTGCAGGTATTACTAGCACACTAGACCCAAAAGCAAAAAGTAGCAATTTGTAAACAAAAACAAATGAAACAAACTCTTAAAAGATCCCGATAATCTTCAATTGGATCTTTTCTTATTACAACTTTAGCCTCAAACATTTCATATTCTTTGAGAATAGACCGCAAACGACTGGTATCCTCTGAAGCCCACTTTCCACTCTTAGGTGAAATCTAAAAAATTAACCTGTTGGAAAAGTACATTGCCAAAAAAAAATTTCAAGTCTGTTCCAAGTAATAGTAGAATAGTCAAGAAAAAACCCTAAACAGAGCAGTTGCCACAGCTTGATAAGGATAAAAAGAAAAAGCTTCATCCATCTTCGCAAGACAAGAATCACCCAGCCACCGGCAATAACCCTCATCAATAAATAAGACGCGTGAAAAAGATGTTGGTCGCTCGTTCCCCTGGAAGACACAGTAAGACATCTAGCTACAATTAAGGAACCCAGATTTTAAATAAGTTGCGACAGTTACAGATTCTTAAGCATCAAACGCCATATTTTCAAATACCGGTTCGGTAAATTCCTTCTTCGCTACAATCCGAGCTCTAGCATAAACCCCCTCAGAAATAGGAGCTAAGACATAGCGGTGTAAAGTAAACAAAGGAGACCTTTCCAGACTGCTCCTAAACCCACGGCAGTAAATGAACCAGGGCAAACTGGATGTGCCATTAAAAAACTGATAAAACACTCCAGAAAAGTTCAACATCATATCTGACTCTTATAATTCAAACGAATCTCACCAATTTTTATTAAAATATAGGTAAAAACTAGTTGCCAAAAGCAAAAGAAGTTGAAAAATAAAGGCTGAGTTCAAATTTATAGCACACTACTGTTTTTAGAACGAGTAAAGAAAGTCACTAACAAATCGGTGACTTTGAGCTGGTCAGTTATGTGATTGAAAGGCTTCAACCATAAACAGCTGGGAGATGTCACATGAGATACGAAACATGTCATAGTGCGAGTTGGCATGATACGGTGGATCTAAAACAGTACAGCAGTACTACGTAGAATTGACTTTGAGAAGGAAAAACTGTTAGCCTAGACTTTTTTATTTTATCAGATTTATCTCAAAATATCAATATGATTTTCCCTTCCACAAATGTCAACATGACATCATTTAGAACCCACTCCAAACCTTGAAACAGCTTTCAGTCTTCGCTAGCGGAATTTATTTTGTCAAAAGGAGTCGCCGAGTTTCATAGGGAAATATCTGATTATTAGTTAGACAGCAAACAAAAATCAAATCGGCAACACCTTATAAACACCATTCCCTCTATCTCCATTCGGTAACATTTCGAATTCCACCTTTTTTTTAGTTTGCTTTTTCGTGAAGATTGGTGACTCTGGACGGTCGCGAAAGGCAAACATCTGAAACAGTATCAAAGCCTGTTTGCATCACCCAGTGAGAGTTACTTATCAATAAAAATCACTAAAAAAGGAACTCTTCCTAAGCCAAATGTCGGAAACAGTTATTATTGTTTTACTAAAAGTCCCTATTTACCTCTGACTTCTTATAAACTTATCGTATACCCTTAAAAATCGTATTTGCCGGTAAATTTCGCAGAATAATTTAGAGGAGACAGACGGAAGTTGTGGGACGTTCTCTGGACTGCTCCAATGGGTTATTTGAGAAGACCAAACCTGTAGATGAAGAACTGTAGTCCCTTAAGATCCTCCAGTATTCTGCGCAGTGACTTCTGTAAGCAGCAGTACTCTTACGAGTCTTCTATACCATCCGCCGCCATTCCTAACTGCTTTTTTTTGAAAAATTTGAAACAAAATGCTATTTTAACCGACGTTTCGCAGGAACTTCTCCGCTATTTCAAGACAGTAGGATTAGCCCTGATTACAGTATCACTTCAGTGCCTTCTTAACTAAAAAAACTTTCCTGCAAGAAATTTACAGAGAAAGAACCAAGAAGCTCGAGGAATGTCAGAGGAGTTCTATAATCTTCGCTGTTTCTATCGTCTGAATTTTGATGGACCAGACTTAAATTCGGATTTGGGTCTGGCTACTTTTACTTCCCCCAATCAGTACTGATCAGATTTTTTCCCTCCGAATTTTGTTGTCCCTCTCACTCTGAAATTATTACTCACACAACAAGACAGATGTTTCTGTCTGCATTAAAATTCTGAGCGAATTTCTGATCACTGGAGAAGTGGACAATTTATACCTCGGAAGCATCAAATACTTTCCGAAACCCAGTGACATACGCTTTTCCACTCAACTTAGAACGTGAAGGTACGAACTTTTTTTGCTGTTTTTTTTTTTTCGGAGAGGAACAGTGTCTGAGTTACGTAGTGCAAAAGAGGAAGAAATTTTTGTATTGCCCAAAACTTTGGTCCACTGCTTGTTTTTGTTGTTCATAATTACGGGTAAAAGAACTTCTACTTCGTTGCTCACTGGTTTCATGAAAAATAAAAATTACTTTTGGAACAACAAAGCCTAAGCTGATTCTGAAAAACAATTAGGATTTTCCGAAAAGCTAGTAGAAAGTCTTTAATTTCAGTTCAAAATCATAAGTCGCATTTTACGGCACTTTTGATGTCGGGCAGTTAAAACCTTCCAAATTATCTAATTCTTCAAAGGTCAGAATATCAGAACTAAACTGTGGACAAAGTTGTTTGTGCTCTTTTTCCAAGCCAGTAGTTTCGGGAAGAAGAGGCGTAACAATGAGTGTGAAATGGAAAATTATATGCAATAAAGTGGTAAAGAAAAAAAAAACAATATGTAAGCCAAAAAACAGGTTAAAACTGGACTCTCTCACTTTGGGATATTATCGAAGCAATTGTTTACCGCACTGGCTTACCGCCAAAGCTGCAGCGTTATTCCCGCCATGAATGACAGGTGGGACTCGATGGTTACAGAATCCCTTGGATGAATGGGGTTCAATCGCCCTCTGTTCAGTGCCAA